ATGCAAATACGATATATCGATATAAGGAAAACCTGGAAAGCAGGGTAAAAAGTTATATCACTCTTATCTCTATAACTGATTTAAAAAACTGATAGTCATTCGGCAATTACTTTTCACCATATTGAAGATGTCAATGGAGATTTATTGCAAAACACATACACTGTAGTAAAATATTAAGTTTCTGTGTACACAAGTGTTTTAATATTGCTTCTGAAAATTCTCCAAAGTGTATTATAGCGTTTTAATAAGCAGTAAGTAGGTTGCATGAAAATTGTTGCCGATTATTTCCGTCTTCGTATTTAATCGTAAGTAGAAGATTATATTAATGCGTTATGGCGCATGGCGTTAATTGAAGTCATTATTACTAATAATTATTTATAACTATTAAATTGCATTTCGAACTTCACTGTTCATAATCTACCGTTTAATTTTTTCCGATAACAATTAAAAACGAAGAACGACGAATAAAAAAACTAAAGCATACAAACGTATAAGAAATAACAATGCAAATAACTTTCGCGTATAATGTCATGGTAAATATGGTGTAAACCAGTTAAATAAAGATTATGTACAATGAATAAGATGTGACAGATGCATATAACTATACTGGCTGTAGATCTCAAAAACTTGATGATTTTCGATATTCGATTTTCAATATTACTATTATTAGTTTTGATCAAACACGATGTCATATAGTGTATATAGATTTTACTTAACACATGGGTCAACATCAGAGAAGGGAACGATTTTATTTTATTGCTATTTCGAGTATTACATTTGAACTTTTGAATTTTATTTTTGTTATTTTATGCCTATTATGAGGGCGTTTAAGATAATAAATACAATTTTGTGTACACGATCTGTTTAATACGTTAATAAAAAGTTGTAAACCTAGAGGTTGCGTATGAGTTTTCCACATTTTCTTCTTTCAAGGTTATTGAAACTTCCAATGAATGAAAATCTTCCAATTTAATCGGCCAATTGGATCTTTTAATTATTTTACTCATTGTTTAGATGCCACAACGAAAGGGTTAAACAATGTCTCATTAAAACATTTAATAAGGGATTACTTGTTCTGCATTATTACAATACTTAACATCAACATCCTAATCGACTAAATAAGATTTAAAAAATATTCAAATTTATTTCTCTTAAAATTACTATTTTCCCTAATAAAACAGAAAAGGATTCTATTTCATAGTTACTCTATATTTCAAGAATACGACTCCACACCTTCTTACCAATCTCAGAATTTGATCAACAATTAATTTTACCGGTGAAGGTACGCTCTTTCATCATCTTGAAGCGCGCGTGCAGCGTGCCATTAATGCAACGTTCAATATTAATTATCATCGCCCAATGCGTCGACGAAGGACTATATGCATCGAGCTGTTTCAAACAGAAACAGCTAGATCGAAATTAGTCTCGACGAATGAATATTTCATCGAGCCTCGACGGTTACTCGAAAATCGATAACTCATTAATAACAAGTAAGAGGTACAAGTAAGAGAGGAAGACGTACATACGCCGTGGAAATTTTAGCGAGTTAGCTTTATCATTAATCACGAGTTTCGGTGTGAATTAGACTCAATTACACGGCCACGAGTAACCCCGTGCAAACCGAGTATCCATTAATCGAGTTACCTGCAACTTCAAACTTCGCGAGCGGCAAAGTTCGTCTACCATTAAAATCAGGAGTGGTTCAATTCCTCGCTGCTCGACTGGCTTCAACCAACTCTTTTCTTTTTTTTTTATACTCTTCTCGTTCTCTTTTTTTCTGGTCTTGGTTACTTTGATCAACGAACTTCGCCCTTTAAGTAGGACGCGAATTGTCAGATTTGCGAGAGATGTGGGTCAGAAACGATTTGGTAATTGATGTTAGAAATCGTTTGTCAATAGCGAGAATTTGGAGAGATTTGAAAACGTTTAGTTTTGCGCTTTTTCAGTCATAATCCGAGACGACAGTCATTAGATATTACTGTCACCTATTGTCATTATCGGCATATTTAAATCGACTCTTCAAATTTTCTTATATTTTTTCATTTTATCTTTGAGTTGAAAAAATTATTTAATCATAGAAAAATACAGTTGGATCGTAAATTATGAAACGAGGGTCGAACGGTGTGAGGTCCTCAACGGAACGGTGACCTCAACAATGCACAGATAGTTGTCAGATATTTAAATAAAACTTGTGGAGCGAAATAGATTGGCACACGAGAACCGATCTTATGGCCACCGCGATCACCAGACCTCACACCGCACTATTTCTTTTTATGGATGAAGAAAAGATATGGTGCATTCGCATCCCATTACTAATCTTGAGGAGCTCCAACAACGCATTCAACAAGAAATATCCAAAATTACGGAAAGAGACATCAGGAATGTGTTGCGCAACATCAAAAAGTGGATGAAAAAGTGCTTGGACTGCAATGGAGAACCGTTCGAATACTTGTTGCAACGTAAGTGCTCCGGAACACTTGCTGAGAGAGTGAAATAATTCAGAGAACTTTTAGCTTGTATAACTTCCTAATGAATAACTTTAGGACATAAGTATGTTAGTACTTTTATGTAGAGCACAAGGAACTGCATCGGTTGGCGCAGTAAAAAATATAGCTTTCCGTTTAAAACAAAATGCAGTTGCATTTTTCTGATGCACCCATGTACAAAAGTTTGTAGCGGCACTCGACAGCAAACTATGACCGGACGATGGTAGAGCAGTGGTTAGCGCCGTTGGTTACGCCAGACCATGTTCAAATCCTGCCATCGTAGTCCGATTTTTTCTCCACGATTCCTAACTGAGAAAAAAGGCAACACGAATAAAGACAGAAATCCTACACACCAGTAGCAGTACCTCACAGCGACCTATACGCCAGCAAGTACCAGTATCATGACGACGGACCCAACAACACCTCAAGTTTATAACATTAGTTGCATATTATGCACCGCCTAATACAATTTAACTTTCACTTATGACATCTTCTTCTATTCCTAACCGTTTAGGAAATACAACCTGTCCCAGTTACGTGGAAACCCTGTATATATTTTGTTTTGGTTATTCATTGATTAATAGTGATACTAAATCAGTATTATGCACATATCGTAAATGTTACATACATAGGTTAGCAAATGTACATAATGTACATAATATACACAATATACATAATTGTTATAATTAACTATACTACTTTAACTGTTACGAATAGTTTAAACAAACTTTTCTTAGCTAGCGGCAATAAATACCGCCGATTTTGTTTTTTCACAGATATCACCAACACACGTTTAACAGACGCACAGAAAAGAACGTATATTAATTTGATCAGCACGTGTTTATAATTTATCCAGAGTGGTCGCGATTTGAAATGAAATTCCTGTACAGTTAGAGCCCTTTTTTTATCTAAAAGTCTTATGTCTCAAAGAGTGAAGGCATCCTTCTTTGGCCCGAAAAAAGATTGGTACACGCGAGTTAGCCGCGGTATTCAGGTTTTGTAAATGATGCTCATAATTCATTTGCAGCCCCATCCAAGAACTGATCGTAATGCCGCAAACCGCTGATTCTTGTGGCTCACGCGTGTACGTATACGCGTACGATATAGTATGTTTAGATTGTTTAGATCAAGCGAACGAATGCTCGTTCTTCCCCACTTTAATAAAATTATTGTCTACTAACTAGCATTCGAATCGGAAGTCGAATATCTGAATGCTCTATAAAACTGCATTTATATAATTCATTGATATGATTATAATTTCTTCAGTAAACATCGTTGTCACGAAGTCGAGTGAAGACTGACCTAGGAATAACTATTGAGCATTCTAGCCCTTTGCACTCGAGGACTTTTTCAGTCTGGCCAAGTAGCAGCTCGATATGATTTAGTGCATCTGTGACGCGTGTGTTACAGGTAGTGTAAAATGATTTTATACACAAATTAACTTACAAAAACATTATATTCTAATAATTTATCTATATTTACATCTTTGGAAATGTGATTTTTTAATATTAATTTCTGTATTTTTTTTTTTTTTTGTATGATAATTTATAAAGTATTCACCAAGATGCATCCTTGGTTTGGTCAAAATTCCTCCTTGGTGACGTTATATCAAATTCAGTGTAGTGACAGTGTCCTCCCCCCTATCATTTTTACAACATAATTGTTTCTCTCAGTTGTTATTTGATTTATTAGCTCGTCGGCGAAGATATCTTAAAAAATGTTGTTCAACATGTAGTATCGTGGGAAAAAAGCCCTGTGACGGCACTCGATAGCAAATACTACCACTCGACACTAACTAGTGTCGGACGACGGCAGCGCAGTGGTTAGCGCCTTAAGTTACGAACGTTCGGGACCCGGGTTCCAAATCCCGGCAAACGGAGTCCGATTTTTTTGCTACGCATCAAAAATGGAAGAAAAACAGCAGTACCCCGTCAGCGACATATCTACAGTCAGCAGCTACAATTATCAGGGACACACATTTGAGGATACTTGCGGCACTGCAGGTTTTTCGCCGGCTACAAATTTTGTTCTCGGTGGTGTATTGCTAGATTCTTCACAAGCTGGTCATTTTGAATTATTAGAATCATGTAGGGCATCGCTGTCTCTTTCGGATTCACTAACTACTATTGTAATTTTTTGATTTCTTGTACCTAATATTGTGCCACTGACTCTATCACTGTTTTTATTTTCTCTATCAATTATTCTTTTATGAATACAATCGATCTCATTTCTCAACAGTTCAACATCAAATTCATCTTCATTTGAGCTGTTACGTCGCGTGAGATGGTCTGTGCGACGTCCCTCGTGGTCTAGCCGTCAAGGCCCACGCTCCGTTATACAGACCCTCAATGAACCTAAGGAACCACCATAAACAGAATCTTTTTAACTTAATCTCTAATCCTGCGAGTATTTTCGGTTTATGGATGGTCCTTAGAACAGTCGTTAGGTTTATTACACGCTCTTACAAATTACGGAGAAAGCGGATATTTGTCTAACGGAAAAGCAGGTTTTTTCCCCATAAACAATGACACCCACGAGCAACATTGGCAGGAGACTTCCTCCTCCTATCTTCATTTATTAACGTTGGCTATAACCAATGGGCATCGCGGATCGTTACCCTCACTTTCCTAACGAAAAGTGTGAACAACGAATCCGCGTTCTTAGTTCAAAAGGCACACCCACACCGAGCTTTCCTCCTTAATAACACGAGAACGGACTTCACTGTTTCTACGACATTAGTTCAGTCAATACTCCGGCACCAAATCGGAAACTGCTAAGTCATCTACGGATCAGTCAACATTTCGGGCTGCTTTTACTACATTACTGCATTCAACTGCAAGGGACTTGTTCTACTATGACAGGACAGTCAGCATATCTACTCGGACTCGATCTCGTCAATAGATCAGTCCGCATCTCTACACTGATTCTCTAACCTGAGAACAGTCAACTTGTACAGTCTCTTGTAACATCAATCCACATCAGAGAACGGGCCACGCACCATGGGCAAGATGGTAGCCAGATGTCTACACATCCTTGGCGCGTACCCTCAATAGTCTTAAGGACCCACCATGGGTCTTGGCATTTTTCATAGTTAAGGTCCTTCAGACCATACAAGTATCTTTTATTTTAAGTGCCCCTTTTACATTTATTGCTTACTACAGGCTAACACAGGAAAGTTGGTTTTCCTTACGTTCGGTATCTTCCGTTAGCAACTTTCTCTCGAGGGCTGCTAAAACCCTTCCTGATCCACCAACCTTCTTATTATCCAATCCGAAGCGGTGTCTACTGCCCTCACTTTCCTAACCAAAATTGCCATCAACAAATCCGATGGTCCCGTGTCCTTAGACACGCCCACCCCTAACTTTCCTCAGACACAGTATCGTCACTAAAACTTAGTTAGTGTCTATCTTTAGAATGGTCAACATTAATTGATTTTACATAAAGTTGTTGGAGTGAATTGTGATTTATGTGTGTTAATTCAGCGTGTATTCCATTGTGATTGCTGAATTCATAATAAAGTTTAATAAAAGTAAAGTTGATAGTTGTGTTACGGCTCAACTGTTTTATTTTATCATCTAACCCTCAAGTTTACGTGACACTCTACCGGATCTTCACTCGTCAAAAATTCGTATACGACACTAACATCTTACGCAACGGCGTAACTCTTTCTTGCATTAAGTTGTTGGAAATATAGACATTATAACCTGTTAACCGCACTGTTATACCACATCAACCGCCCCTATTATCTCAAAAGAAATAAGAGGATCAATCCGTTCGTGGTGTCGATTATTATAATCCTAACGGGAATTTACGACTCCCGTTGACGCACTTCCCGCGACTGGTCGAAAATACATATGCTAATTTCACTTCTGAAAACCATCTTTTTAATGCTTCCAAGCTATAATACTTTTACCTTGATCGTCAAATCCGAACTAACATTGGGCACATTGTCAGAACCATAGTTTCAGAGGGATTTGGGATTAAGTACTTTATCTCCATTTAAAATTATAACACATTACACTAAAAAAAAAACATGAAGAGCTAAGGAATCTATTTACGGAACCAATACTGCGCTCTCATCAATTGGAGATGTCGAAATCTAGTATAAACAGGAACTGTCGCCTCTTACTCGCCACTCGAGTTGCCGCACAAAACACCGTAACGACGGAGTCGCCTCTCCAGCGCAAAAGGCTAGGGCTAGATGCTTGGTCTAATTCCTACGAATGTTCGATCGTGTTTGCCAAATGAAGAAGATCTTTTAGCGTAAATGAGTTTACGAATAGATTGCTCGATGATCATTGACACTAGATAAACACTAATGAGTGCTCTTGCTCTTCTTCTTGCTCTATGTTCTTTCTCGTTTGATTTAAATATACCTTTATATTATTGGACAAAATGACAGCCCTTCCAACATTTTTATCTATTTTTCACTATATAGGATGTTTCGTTTATTTTGGATTGCTTAATATTTTAATTACTTTCATTGATACAAAAAATGTGTCGGGATACGATATTGATTGGTTGAAAACGTCGAAAACTATGATTCATGTTTTTTCCCTTAATGAAATCTTTCGCTATCTTTCAAGGTCATTAACATTGTCCATTTTTTTTTGCTTTTTAGAAGAACTATATATTTTTTTATGCATCAACCGATATAGTTCTTTATTTTCTACAAAAAGGTATTAAGGTAAATACATGTAACAATCATCAGTTTGGAAGTTTAATTTTAATTTTAACTTTAATTTTATGGAATTTGTCTATGAAACATAAAGAGAACATGAACTTAGGAATACATACTGTTTTGAAAGTGAAATCTTCCCTTATCCTTCATACGATAAGTCTATATCCTTATACATACAGTATCTTTCAAGTTGATCATTTTTAAACACAAGTACCTTATTTTCATACGAAATAGTAAGCTTGAAGGAAAAATTCATGAATCACAATATTCGTCATTTTTAATTAATTTTAATTTTGTCCTGACATGGCTTTTTGTTTTGATAAACGACTATATTAATAAATACGAAGATGAAAATGATTGACACCAATTTTCCAAATATAATGTAAATACATTTTGTTAACATATTTTTTCGTCTAACTTACACCTCCAGATTAGTGCAACACGTTGAAGAATCGCTGAAAATAAAATCGAAATATTTGCAAACAGGACAGTGTATGTATTTTGTAATAGATTTCTGTTAACGAATACGCGTGATATTACAGTTTTTACTCTGCTGTACGATTTTATATAGGTTTCCCCGTAACAAACCATATATTTTTGATAAATCTATTTTTAATTCTAATATTGTGAATACTACGAAAAGTCGAGAACTATCGAAAAATCGAAACTAGTAAGTGGATAGAGAGATCGTAAACAAGAAATTGCTACGTGGATGGGGACACGGTATATATCAAGGTTTCGTTTCACTTGACGGTGGTCTGAAAGAACAAGATTTAGTAACGATAACCTCAAAGTGTTATATGTTATGCGGTTACACGTGTGCGAAGGAATATAATAGAGGAACATCGGGGGAGCATATATGCATATGACAAATCGCGAAAAGTGTTGATCGAATATCACGCATTACTGACATCGTGAAAGGAGAGGATCGTGTATCGAACGAAAGTGATTTCACGCGACGAAAACAAATCGAGGATGTGAAATACGTATATAAATTATTCGTATTTCATTTCACTTTTCCAAGATTATCCGATAATTTCTCCTGATAATTATTATTATAATTATATTATAATTACTTATTTGTAAATTCAACTAGTTATTATGAAAAGCTTTATTGCTATTTTTAGAAATGGAAGAAAAAATATATAATATACATATTTTCATATTTGTTTCAAAATTTTCCAATATAATTGCGTTAGTTACGCTCATTACCGTAGTATTGAAATTCCAAGATTGAAACTGGACGCGAAACTTTAAATTGTATTTGTTTGTAAATTTTGTTGATTATATAGTAATTACGAAACAATAGATAGTTCCGATAAAGGATTTGAGAATGGAATATAAAATAAAGAACATGTAAAATATACGTATCGAGTGTAAATTTGTAAGTAAAGAAACATGAATTTTTTTCTCCATATCTTCGAATTTCCAGACGTTTGTGAAAGATGGAAAATAGGCTTACAAGTTTTAATGGGGATTTTATAAAATGGACGTATATTTAAAATACATACGCAAAACAATATAAATACATATACTATTGAACAAAATACGGATATAAAATGTACGGTTTCTTGACAAATTTTCAAATTTTATTAATATATATTTTATTGAAAAATGCAACCATTTATGTTCTCTAACTTGATTTTTACGTTTCTTTTATTAACTTTTTTCATTTTCTAGCGAAAATATGAAAAAACCACACTGGATCTCCATTCTTTGAATATTTTCAATTTTCTCAGTATTCTCAAATTTCGACGATATTTGAAAACTTTCACGAGCATCTGCATAATATGTACTTGATATATCATTTCTATGAAGGAAAAGCGGAATCGGTGATTACGAATCGTCTGCGTGGAATATTTCCGCGCCGAAAAAAGCGATGCATCGCACATATCGTTTCCCTTTCCGAAGGATTTCGAGGAACAAGGCTTACGTATCGCCGGATGCGTCGCATTAAGACGAATTAACGTCGTTTATTTAGAAGGAAAAAGCGGAAGGATAATGGCTGACTGCTTGGTATAATGAGTGACGCGATAATAACTTACATTCTCTTAAGAATCCTGAAATAATAGTTCCTCTCGCGTTCAGATGCCGACGGATAATTTCTCCAGGCATTGGTTTACGACTTTTCGTTATACTTTGCGAAAAATCAAATCTTTTTTCATTATACATTTAGAAGAAAATACGTATGAAAATAGAATTTCTTAAGATAATTCGATGTGTTTCCTTGTCTGTAGTTAAGTTTAGATTGATGATACTTAGAGCCCGGATTTTTATGCATTTATGAAAGACATTAATGTGTAAAAATGCACAGAATGAACTTAATATGCATAATCTAATATAATTTCAAGAACTCTGTACGATCGAACGGCGAATGCATTTCATTATTTTAAGACTATCTGATAATTTCTCCTAATAATTATTGCATTGTAAACAGAAAATGTTTACTTGTATGGCATTCTATATAAACTCAACTAATCATATCATGAAAAGCCTTATTTATATAATTTTTCTATTTCATATTATACAATATTTATCTAGGTATACATTTATTTCACTTTGAAACATGTGGCACCGAGTACAGAACGGATTTTCCGTTTTATTCGATATAGTTTTTATTTGAAAACATAATTTAAAATACATTTAAAAAATATTATAAGCGATATAAATTAAGTTAAATGTGATACAAGGACTAAGTAAAGTTTAATTATTAAAATTAACTGTTATGAAAAGTTTTATTTCTATTTTTTTTAATAAAACTCTATAATACTTATTTTTTATGTGTCTATAATATTTATCTTAGTAATATATAAAACAGATTTTAAATTTTTATCTCGAGTAAAAATTACAAGCTATATTCGATTCAATGATTTAATAATCCCAAAAATCTTCTAGAGTCGAACAGCGAATATGTATACTACGAAGAAGCAGCAAAGCAGAGTAAAGCATACTGGGGGATGAGATTAGTCAGAAATAGCTTAATTAAAGGTAAAATAGTTATTAAAGCGGCCGAGAGTTGTCAGCGAGAGAGTATCGTTTAAAGAGTACTCGCGGAGGGTGAGGGGTTGGTGACTGCGAAGCTCGCTCATTAACGCGCTTATTAAGATCGCTCGACGATTAATTTCAAGCCGTGCCGAGTTATTCACGGCGGAAAGACAACAGAATTTCTCGTGTCGTAGCCTCATGCTCGTGGATGGTAATAATTTCTCACGGACTGCGTGCATCCGTGTGTGCATTACCTGCACGATGCTCGGCCTACGCGAAACGCTTTTGCCACCCAATA